CTCTCGGCCGGTCCGTGGGGTCAGGGGGTGCTGGGCCTCAAGTCCCGGCCCCGGCCCAGCTGGAAGTGCCTGATAACCGCAAGGGGCTGGGCAGGCGATAACCAGCAAGGCAGCTGGGGCAAAGAGGCACGACAGCAGCTTTCTCCATCCCAGGAGCGAGATCTTGACTGAGCTGGACCACTGGAGCACGCACAGCCAGGGGCACTGGGCAGGGGGGCAGGAAAAGCCGAAACAATGGGGCCATAGGCGCCAGTCCCCACCAGGCTCTCCACGGGGAATCTGCCAGCTCCTCCCAGACCATTTCTTCCCTGTGTCCCGCCCACCCTCAAACACTGGCTGGGCTCCCCCAGCACTGGGGGGAGTTTGCAAATACGGCTCCCGTGGTGCAGAAATTCCGAGTGTGGTGCCCGCAGGCTGAGGAGCTGGTCCTGGTCTGGGTGGTGTCCAGCATCCAGCACTGCGGAGGGAACTGCTCACACACAGGCGAAGGGGACATGGTCATGGCCATGCGGATGGGGAGGCTGCTGGGGGTGCACAGAGCAGCCCCCCAGGAAAGGAAGGAGGGGCTGGCTGTGAACGAGCAGCCGGGGCTGCTGCTCCATGCCGGCCGGGTGACCTTGGAAGCCGTTTGCCAGGCCTGAATAAAGCGACAATAATCCTATTCACCTTTTAGCCTCATTTCCTAAGGCAATAAAGCACATGCCCTCGCCGCGTGCAGTCGCAGGTGTCACTCAAGCCCTGATCCCATTTGCACGACTCCAGCCGAGGCAAGTTTTGCTCATTACCCCTCTGACGAGCTTTGTGCAGCAGGGCCAGGAGCCCCAGGCAGGCGTTTTGCCAGGGCCTCGTCCCTGCCCTGGCTCCGAGGCTGCTCAGCCCATCCCAGCCAGAGAAGGGGCCGGCAGAGCCCTGGGCTGGGAGCTCACCACAGTCTCTGGAGCTCGCATTTCCCAGCCGGTCCCGATCTGTGGGCTCAGGGCACACCCAGCTGCGATTAGAGCAGCTGCAAGGGCCCTGGGCACCCTTGGGGCACCCCTCGGTTACCGCTGAGCGCAGCCAGGCACTGCCCAGGCAGGTCTGCTGCCTGCAGAGGAGCGAGAAGGCAAGCACCTTCCCTGTGCAGCACTGCAGGGCTTGGCCCACGTAGAGACCGAGTGTTGGCCACAGCTCCAGGGCAGAGGCACTGAATGTTGCCTGGAAAGGGCAGAGATGCTCTTCAGACCAGAGGCAACCCTGTTCAGACTCTCCTGCCCCCTCTGCATGGTGGAAAGAGGGTTACTGTGAGCCCCTCCGCTGCCCTGCAGCTCCAGGAGAGCAGCTCATCCACCCACAGCTCCATGCCAGTCCATGTCTGACACAAATCCTTCGTAGCCTGGGCACAGACCAGGCAGAATCTCACACACACATCACAACCCTTCCCTGGAAGAACTTTATTAAATAGTGTCAAAAAAAAAAAAAATACAGAAGCAGAAATACTCAGCATGACCCTGTCCCTCCCAGCTAGTTAAAAACCACAAACAGACCATCCCCACATGCCCAGTGCTGGTGGCTGCTGGGCAAGTCCTCCCTGGTGCCTTTCTCCCTGTGAACACAGATCCAGCATCATGGGCAGGGAAGGCAAAAGGGTCCTGTGGGGACAGCCCAGACAGCTGCAGGTGTTGAAAGCCAAGACAGCACTCACATGCTGTCCCCCGCCCACCAAAGCAACCGCTCACCACCCCCACAAGCCCCCCAAACTGCTCCTACCCCATGGGGCTGAAGAGAAGCTGAACATACACAGATGAGGGGCAGCCAACACCAGGCCTAGTTGTCACTCCTCAGCCTGGCAGAGCCACCAGCACCTCAGTTTCTGCAGCTTTGTGAATGACCCAACACAGCTTCCCCCTCTCTACCTGCCCCCCACAAAGTTTATAAAATAGGGGGTTTATCTTTTCCTACAAAGACAGCCATGGGATTTCCTTTGCAACAGCAGAACAGTCTCCCTGCGAGGTAGAGAGTTAATTTCAGGGCTGACAGATCCTAAATTCAAACCAGTTTGTTCTAGCTGAGGTAAAAATCAGTAGTTTATAGTAATGCCAGAGGGCCATCAAGATTCCTCATTGCCGGAGTCATCCTCATCACCGTAACAGCTCTCTGTTTCATCCTCCATCTCATCATCCTCATAATAGTCATCATAAAAGAGGTCTGAGCCCTCATCTGGGGCTGGAGTCTTGGTCTTCACACAGTACTCAGCCAGCGTGGTGGGGACCTTCACTCCGTCGCGCTCAGCGTCCACCTTGGTGCCCAGCACTTGCTTTCTGGAGGGCGAGAAGTGAAGGGTGAGGACAGAGCTCTGCACCACAGCCCTCCAGAGCCCATGTCCCACAGGATCCCAGCACAGCCAGTGCTGCCAGGCCCAGGCTCAGCACACACCTGATGATGTCTGTGTACTCCCGGTCCTTCCCTTTGCTCTCCTTCCATTTGCGGTACATCACGGAGGCATCCACGTTGGCTGGGGAAAACGTGTTGGGCTCATTCAGCAGTGAGATCACACTCAGCAGAATGGTTCTGGCAACAATAAACATGAGCAGGTCAGAGCTGAGGCAGGTCAGCAGCACCCCAGCAGTGCCAGCAGCCCCACTCTGGGGAGGGGAGCAGGCCAGGCAGGGGACAGCAGCACATGGGCTGTTTGGCTTACACTCATCCACACACAAGCTCTGGCAGCAAATCCAACAGGCCAAGAGCCTTCACCAGCCCCCTGGCACCTCCTGCAGGCTTTGGGAGCAGGAGGCTGTCCCCATCCTCCCACCTTCCCATCCCTGCCCTTGGATGAGCCCCCTGCCTGCAGTCCCTCCCAGCCCTCACCGCACGTTCTGGGTGGGGTTCCAGCGCTCCGATGGCAGCTCCCCGCTCTGCGGGTCATCCACGGGCGGGTGGAGGATGGAGATGCAGACATCACCTGTCTGAAAGCACAGGAGAAACTGGATCCTCAGAAGTTGCTGCCTCAGGATCTCCTTGCTCACACTTCCCATTGGCTGAAGCCAGGTGAGGCGACCCCAGCTGTCCCTTCAGTCCCATAGGAGGGACACAAAAGTGGACAAGCACCCCGAGAGGGCCAGCACCGTACAGGTCAGGCTGCCCAATGCCCAGCACACTGTGCCCCTGGCGTGGGCCCCAGGGCCAGGCACGTCACTCAGCCTGCAGCCACTCTTGGCATAGGCACAATGTCCCCAAGCGTGGGAGCCATCAGGCCTGCAAAGTCTGGCTGGCCTGGAACCTGCACTGGGACAGCAAAGGGCTGTCATGAGCTCGTTAGCGGCATTCCCTGTGCCAGGCACTCATCGCCAAAGGCACCAAGTGTCCTGTGCCAAAGGCTGGCATTTGCATCCAGTGTCATCACAACAGAGGCACACGTGTCCACTGACTGTCCAAGAACCTGTTCATTGTCCCAGGGGACCTACCTCGTAGATATTGGGGTGCCACATTTTGGTCAGGAACCTGAAGGCAGGAGGAGAGTAGGGGTAGTCAATGGGAAACCGGAGACGAGCCTGCAAGGGAACAATGAGGAGACGTGAACACCAGCTTGTGAGAGGGAAGGGACGGAAACCACAGAGCTTCTGACAGCTTCAGGAAGAAGGAAACTCTGCCAAGCCCAGCTGGGTGCCTGCTGGGACAGAGCCTCTGCACCAGCCAGCTCTGTGGGGAGGACACCGGCCCCAGGGGCAGGATGGACACCGGCCCCAGGGGCAGGATGGACACCGGCCCCAGGGGCACCCTCTCACCACACAGAGTGGGATGAGCAAGGGGCCTGTGACCAGCAGCAGCTTCTTGCCCCTCATCCTGCCCATACCCTCCTGTCCAGCAGGGCCCACTGGTGCTAACCCAGTGCTCTCCAATGCAGAGGAACCTGCGGGAGCTCACGGTGTTGGCACCCAGCACAAACCCCACAGCAGCACACAGAGCCAGGCAGAGTCTGGGTCACCCGCCAGAGCTGCTGTCAGGGACAGACCATGGCTGTGCCTCTGAAGGAAAGGCTGTTTACCCTTCAGAGCTCACGGGAAGGAAGCATCAGGTGTTTGGTGCTCCGATGAACACACCAAATCTAAAAATAGCCTGTCACTGCTGAGAAGAGACCCAGTCCAAACCGGCCGCAGCGCGCAGCTTGGGGGCTAAAAATAAAATCACATGAAGCTCAGGCTGCAGCCCAGGGCTCCAGCAGGGACACTCAGCCACCACCAGCTCCTCCCACAGCCACCAAACCCGTGGGGCTGAGAGTGGGCAAAGAAGGGCACACTGTCCATCTCTGAGTGAAGCCTGAGGGGGCATAAGGACCTACAGCAACATCCCACAGTCTTCAGAGCTGCTACCCCCAACCCACCAGCACCAGGAATCCGAGAGGATGGGGGCAGCTTCTCCCTGTGTGGCTGCACAACTTCCCAGTGACTGATTCAGCTTTCAGCTGTTCCCAGGCCCTAGGAGCAAACTTCTAGATCAAGACTCAACATGACAACTCCCTGAATGCTTCTTGCTCCCTCAGTTTACGTACAAGAGAATCCAGACATCGGATCTATGGCACAGGACAGGGGTGGGAAGAGGGAAAAGTGCAGTGGGGGCCGTGTTGTGTGTGTGGAGTGCAGGGCAGTGACACTCGGCCCCATGCTGGGCTCTGGCCAAACAGCTGAACGTCGCAGAATAATCCCCTTTGTTGTGTCAGAGGGGATGAGAACAAAACCGGCAGAGGCAAAGTGATGCCAAAGGGGGCTTGGACAGAAACAACCCCACCCTGCCTTGAACAAACAGGTTGGTGTCCCCATAGGCTGGAGAAGACTCGGCCTCATTGCTCTCCTCTTATGCACAGCCTCACCAGCACAATCAATGCCAACTTTGGAAGCTCTCAAGCACACAACAGAAGCCTGAGTGGCTGAAGGGGTGAGAGTTCAAAGGGTCTCATACCAATATGTTATGGGGGAAAAAAACCTTCACTTCAGTAAAGGGATGAAACCTGGCTCTGAAACATCGGCTTTGCCAGCCCAGGAAAACAAACACAGCTACCGTGGGTGACTCACCCTGTGCATCCCCACCCTGACAGCAACAGGATGAAAACACAAGAGCTCAGTGGAGGAGGGAGGATGAGAAAGAGGAAGAAAACAGCTACCCCACGTTGCACAACACCTGGGAAGAACACACACACATCCTGCCGAGGGGGGACTGTGCAGTCAGGCTGCCAAACCCCTTCTTCCACCTCAAACCCCAAACCAAGTCATGACACTCACTCCCCAACCCAGCTCCCTGCTCCCACCCTGGGCTGTCTCTGTCTGCACTCGAGGGACCTTTGTCAGACCACTGGCCCGGTGGCGATGCCTCGGATCCCCTCCTGAAGAAGGAACATCATCGACCTGGAGCCCGCTGTCCTGCACCCTCAGACCGGGGGGGCAGGGGGGTGGTTGAGCCAGAGCCCCAAGGGGGCCGAATGCTCCTCACAACGAAGGGGACCCTCGGTAGTTTGGTAGCAGCAGCAGTTTGGTCCTGCCAGGACCACTCCGAAGCCCCAGGGACCCTCAGGCGTCCAGTGAAAGACCCAGCTCTCCCTGGCCCTCAACACGCCCGCAAGTCCGGGGGCAGCTCTGTCACGACCCCCACACCCACCCGGGACACCCTCCCTCATCCACAGTCCCCTCACAGGGTCTCACCCTTCCGAAACTCCTTCCCAAAACACCCAGCACATCCCCCGACACCGCCTGCTCTGCCCTCGCCCCCCCCAGCCCCATCTCCCCTCACAGCCCGAGCCTTTCCCGCTGCCCCCGCCGCTCACCTTGAAGTACCCGCCCTCATAGTG